AGACTTGAATCTACCTTCCCCTTTTCAGTTCCAAATCAGATCACCTTATTTTTCTGGTTAAGACTTTCTTGTGCTTTCTCAAAACACTCATAATAAAACCAAAATTCCTACCATGATTTTCAAAGCTCGATATGATCTGGTGTTCTAACCTTATCTTCCACTACTTTCTTGATCACGTACTCCCCTTCAGCCACACGAGTACTCACTTCATTGCCACTTTAAGAACATTACACTTGTTTTACTAAACCTTTTCTATGTTTAAATTTTAAAAAATACTACACTTGTTGTTTCCCTGCCTGGAAAGCATTCTCCAGAAACTTCCTTGACCAATTATCTCAATGTACTTCTTCACTTGAAGTTCTACTCAGATATTACCCTCTTCAGTATGGCCTTCCCTTACCACCCAATATAAAATAGTACACACTCATCAGTTTCAATCCTCCTGCTTTGTACTTCATAGCACTTAACTTACTTAACATTATCTTACACGTTAGCTTAGTCTAACCTTAATAGAATGTAAACTTTCATGTGCAGGAAATTTTTTTTTCACACTTGAATACCTATTGCCTAGAATAGGATGGGCAGAAAGGTAATTAATATCTGTGGAATAATTCATGAATCAGTAATACATGAAACACCACACTAATTGATCCTCTCGTTAGAATGATATCTTTGTATGAATGTGGTAAATGGTTGAAATCAAATAGAATGCTACAAATGACCAGGTAATGTAGCAGATGATGAGATTTAGTAGGAAAAGAATCTGAAGATAATGTACTTGAATTGAGGCTGCTAAATCCTGCTGTGTAGCCTCAATGCCCTTCCAAACTCCACCTCTCCTCTAAACAATTACAAACCATATTCATAAATGCTCCCTAGAAAGTCAACATGAAGATGAAATTCTGAACACTCATGGGTAGAGAAGAAATAGGAAATGATTGGCAAGAAGCACTAAATCTAGTTAAACCCAGAATTAAGTTAATAAAACAGTGCTAAGAAAGAAAAATGTAGGTACAGTCATTCATAATATTAAACCTCATTAGACTGAAGAGGATGCATATGATAATCATTACAGGCCATGATTCTCAAATTTTAGACTGCATCAGAATTACCTGGAAAACTTGCTAAAATATAGATTGCTGTGCCCCATGCAGAGTTTTTGATTAAGTAGGACTGGGATAAAGGCTGAGTATCTGCATTTCTATTAAGTTCCTAGGTGATGCCATTGATCTCAAGACCACAATTTGAGCACCACTGTGCTACAGCAGCCACTGAAAACATACTGTACAAAAGTATACCTAAAAAGCCAGCAGATAAAGTAAAAGAAAATTCTAAAAAATATTCAAACCCAAAAGGCAATAGGAAAGGGGAAACAGGGGAACAAAACTTTTGTTAAAAATAACAATGTAAAAACAATAGAATGGTAGACTCAAATCAATAATGAAATATTAATGGACTACATATCAAATTAAAGACAGAGTTTATATGAATGGATTGAAAAGGAAGACCCAATTATACCCTGACCACAGAAAACCCACATTAAATATAAGGATACATTAAAAATAAACAGATGGAGAAAGATGTAACACACTAACAGTAAACATTAGAAAGCTAGAGTGACTGTATCAATTGTCAGATAAAGTAGACTTCAAAACGAACTGTTACCAAAGAGGAAAATATAATAATAAAAGGGTTATTTCCTCAGGAAGAAATAATAATCATTAATGTGTACGCACCTAATACAGAGCCTCAAAATACATAAAATAGAAATTGACAGTGTAAGTAAGAAATAGGCAATTCCATAATCATACTAGGTGATTTTCACATGCTTTGCTGAGCAATTGACAAAACTAAAAAAGAAAAAAAAAATAGTAAATACATAGAATATCTCAACAGGATTAACCACCTTGATCTAATTTATATTTATGGAACACTACACCCAACAACTGTACATGTATTCAAGTGCACATG